GTGTGTGTACACTGCATCTGTGTGGGAAACGCCCCGAGAATTGTGTGTGTACACTGCATCTGTGTGGGAGATGCCCCGAGAAGAAGCGTGTGAGTGTGTGTGTGAGTGTGTGTACACTGAATCTGTGTGGGAAGTTGGCCAGGAGCAGGGCAGGTCTGGAGCGACGGTGCCATCTTTCTGCACCCCCACATGGGAGGCTCCTCCCTCTCTTTGTGGCAGGAACCTCCAGTGGCTGTGAGTGCCACAACGGAGGCAGTTGCATGGGCACCAACACCACCCTCTGCCAGTGTCCCCCGGGATTCTTTGGGCTCCTCTGTGAATTTGGTAGGTGCCCAGGGCAGCCTTCCTGCCCTGTCCCTGAGCATCCTCATAACCAGGAAATGAGGGTGGCTTGGGCTGGGGTCCACCCCCACCCCGGGAGGGCCTGGCCACAAGAGTGCCTGAACCTGTTGGGGTCACTGGGTGTTGGGAAGCCCCATCCCTGACAAGGACTTGAGGTCTGCCAGAAGACATGTGAGATATGGGATGGGCTTCTCCTTTCTCTCCAGAAATCACAGCCATGCCCTGCAACATGAACACACAGTGCCCAGATGGGGGCTACTGCATGGAGCACGGCGGGAGGTACCTGTGCGTCTGCCACACCGACCACAATGCCAGCCACTGTGAGTGGCTGGGGGCCGAGCCTGCTGGGCCGGGGGCCGGGACGGAAGCCAGGGAGAAAGTGGGGGTGAGGCAGGCGGAGGCCAGAGTCCCTGCTTCCCTTCTGACTCCTGGGAGAGCTGGCACCTGGGCGAGCCTCTCAATAGCCTTCCTGTAGCACGGGGCTGGGTGTCTCCACCCCAGGGAGGAAGGTCGCAGGTGGAAAAGCGCCTCCTCGAGTCCGCAAGCGCCATGTGGCTCTTCCCCGAGCCCCAGCACGTGACGCATACATCGTTAGGCACGTGTGGGTAAATGCGTGACTGCTGCGGTTTGTTGGTGTGTCGATGGTTTATCACTGGCCTCATGTAGAATTATGTAGAATAATGACGTGATGCTGGCAGTGATGTCAGGAAGGCTACCTCATGGAAGAGGGAAGGGCGAGTTCTCCCGAAATCAAGAAAAAGAAATTCCAGGGAGGGGCTCAGAGCCCACTCAGGAATCCAGATGCCCAGAGTGCATTGTAAGCGGCCTTGGTTCCAGACAGGGTGTCAGGGTAACCCGGGCAGGCAAGGTGCCCCCCCAGCCTCTGGCCGCCCACACGGGTGCGGCATGAGCTCCAGGCCCACCCTGTGCCCCCCGCCCCCAGCCCTGCCATCACCCTGCGACTCGGACCCCTGCTTCAACGGAGGCTCCTGCGACGCCCATGACGACTCCTACACCTGCGAGTGCCCGCGCGGGTTCCACGGGAAGCACTGCGAGAAAGGTAGGGCGGGCCGGGCGTCAGCACCTCGGAGAGCGCCCGCGGCCTCGGCCTCCGGCCTGTCTCGGGCAGCTGCTGACCTCGTTGGAGCCCGGCCTGCTGCGCTGCTCGGGTCCGGGTCCGTGCGTTTGAGACGAGCCCCTCACCCCTGGGCGGCTCTGATCCGCGCCAGTCCCAGGCCTACCGCTCATTACCTTGCTCTTCTCAAAATAGAGCTCGTTGCCTGCTCAGCATTTTTCCAAATAGGTTTTAGAATCATTGTTTTAAATTTTATGTTAAAAATTTCCTTAGGATTCTCAAATTCAGAATGGAGAATGTCGAATTTTACTACATTTAGTTGCTTGAAAATAGGAGTATCTCTCCGTAAGCACAGTGCAGGTGCAGCTGTCCCTGCCAGTGCCCACCAAGACTGTCCCTTGCCTGCAGTTTGAAGCAATGGTCAGGACTCCCAGACGTGTCAGTGCCTCAGTGGCCAATGCCGAGGGGGCTGACTGACCCCAGTGTGGCCTGCACCCTCTCTAGGGTTCAGGGCCTCTGGTACCCCCCACAGCCTGGACTGGTGTGGGGCCTTCCCATGGCCTCTCCCCTGCTCTGTTCCTTACCCCTGAGGGCAAGACCCTGAAGTCTCAGCTGTGGACCCAGGGGCTCCCCACACCCCCGCAGCAGAGACACAGCAGCTTTCCAAAGAGAAGACCCCAACTGCTTGGTTCCTCGCAAGCTCTGATGACATCTTAACACATTCCTAGGACCACCCTGAGGCCCCTCACGGGCCCTGCCCGGAGTCCACTCTGGCCCTAGCCCGGCTCACACCCGCCAGTGGTATGGAGGCCACCACACCCAAGGGGTGTCCAGCCAGAGCCCACACCTCCTAACTAGGCCAAACTGCCAGTACCCAGTGTCCCTGCCCCACTGGTTCTGTGCCCATCCCAGGAACTGCACAGCCCTCCTCCCAGGTCCCAGCTTCTGCGAGCACACAGGCCACCAATGCTGAGGCCTCTGAACCCAAAAGGAGCACAGAAGAGACAGGAATGGCTATCCTCAGGGGTGGGGCAGCCAGAGCCTGGACTTGCAGCGCGGGAGCCCCTGGGGGTGAGGGCTGGGGAGAGAGGAGTGAGCACGGGGCCGGCCCCTCCTGCTGCTCAGAACACCCAGGAGTACGAGGATTTGGAGCTCCTCACCGGCCCTGTGACAGTGTGGTTGTCAAGGTGCCGGGATAGATGTGCTTGGTTTAGCAGACGGCTTTCGATGTGTGCTTGCCTCAAGCACAGGCCTGGGCAGCTGAGCTCCCTGGGGGCCCAGGAACTGTCAGGACCCAGAGAAAACATGGCAATACCAGTGCAGGTACAGAAAACACAGAAGTCCAGATTGACTGCCATGGCCCCAATGTCACGGCAAATGAGCCTCAGCCACTTCCTGTCAGATGGGGACTGCCCGTGGCAGGAAGGAGGGGTGCTGCCCCTGCTGCAGTGGTGAAGCTGGCTCTCCACCAGGAAGGGCCCAGCCATTGCCAGAGCCTGGGAAAGGCGTGCAGAGGGCTGGCCTGAGGCTGAGCTGGGGTCTCCAGCCTGCGAGCCCCACCCCCGCCTCCTGCCACATGTGCAGACCTGCTTGGCCCCTACTGTGGCCGGGCCTTGGGGCTCAGCCAAGAAGCAGGCCTGGCCTTCCAGCCCCCACTAGCACCAGAGGACTGAGGAGACGCCAAGAGGATGTAGGCATTCTGCAGGGCAACAGCCAGCCCCATTCATCTGCCTCTCTGTCCTTCCACACAGCCCAGCCACACCTGTGCAGCTCAGGGCCCTGCCGGAACGGCGGCACGTGCAAGGAGGCGGGCAGTGAGTACCACTGCAGCTGCCCCTACCGCTTCACCGGGAGGCACTGTGAGATAGGTGCGGCCCCCAGGGGCGGGGGGAGGGCGGGAGTGACCGGCTGGCTTCACCGGGAGGCACTGTGAGATCGGTGTGGCCCCCAGGGGCGGGGGGAGGGCGGGAGTGACCGGCTGGCTTCACCGGGAGGCACTGTGAGATCGGTGTGGCCCCCAGGGGCAG